ACGCATTTGAACAGAAATATAGGGGCTTAATTGAATAAAGCTTCGAGGGGGTCAGGATTTTAAATTGTTTTGATTGGATTTAACATGACAAGGTAGATTAGAAATTTTCTAAAAATTTGCCACTGGGATTTGCGTTTTATTGCGTAGTTTCAAAGTTATCGGCATTCATGCGTAAGTTCGACTGCCGATAATTTTAGAACTAGGCATTTTACCTTGTCACGTTGAATCCGATCAAAAAACTAAAAATCCTGACTCCCTCGAAGCTTTATTTAAGACCCTGGCCTATATTTTCTGTTCAAATGTGTGTTTTTACCGGAAGTGGGCTTTCTGTGCTCGCAGGGAAACTACCTACAATAACCAATTACGCATTCTGATTGACTTAGAGCGAAATTGTCAACAAATGCGCTGATTGGTCGAGAACGAAATTCCCCCCTGTACTGAGTTCAAATCCTAACAGTTAGTTAATTCTTTTATCTTATCATAGACAAAGTTATATAAACATATCTGGATTAAAAGTATTAGATAAAATTATCTATAATATAATGTCGTGAGGGAATAGGGCCTGGTAGATCGGGGAACGAGGGATAGGAAGCAGGGGTGGAGGTTAACTAGGGGTATTGGGTTTTCTATCCGCGGTAACCGGGGGTTAAGTAGATGTGGTTTTCCAACTTGATGGGGGTTTAACGTGTCCCGATGGCAATATATGTGCATAATTAATAAAAAGCATAGTTTTATTGGTTATTTTGTTTTTGTTTGCAGTGAAAGTAATTTGTTTTGGGTATTGTATTTACTCGTTATAGCGGCCCTATGCTCTATAAAGGGAGTATCTAATTGGAGCGGGTAGCGGGTCGCGGGTAAAAGGAGCGGGTCGCGGGTAAAAGGAGCGGGTAATTAAAAAAGGAGCGGGTAAAAGGAGCGGGCAATTAAAAAAAAGAGCGGGTAATTTCCCAGGTGCTAAGCGCCGGTGGGGAATTTTAAAGAAAAAAGACATTTTTTATGAAAATGTAACAATATGAGGACCATTTTTACTAAGTGAAACCATTGACTTCACATAAAAAATCTCGAAAATTCTATCAAATGTTAAATTGACAGATATTTAATAGCCTGAACATGTCTTATTATGACGTGCTGAAAATACGTACACACTAGCGCAACGTTTTTGGGTCACCAAATGGACAAAAAGTATTATAACATGTACAAGTACTACTAAAAACTCTACAGTCTGTCTCGGCTATTGCCTCACCAAACTGTGGTTATGCATTACTAACTCTATGGAGCAAAGGAAACTATAAACCATTTTTTACTATAAATTTATCCGAATTTCAAGTTTTTAGCCATCCGGTTTTTTATATACGTACATGCCTTACGTACATGGCGGCCATCATGAGTGGCTTCAAAGATGGCGGCTAAGTTATCTTTCCAGTTCCCTTAAGCCCCGTTTACACTACGCTCA